GTTCCGCTTGACAATTAATGGTAGAACTACTATTGCAGCTGCCTCTGTCTCACCGGCCATCCAGCCCGTCTGGCACAGGTCAGTGTCTGCTTCCAGAAGCTGCCACAGCTGCCTTCTCCCAACGGCCCTTCTCTCTCAGGGTACTTTCATAAACACTGAGTCTTGCGGATGGTCCAAATCTATAGGCCCCTCCTCCCCATGAACTGACCACCACTTGTCCGTCAGTTGGTCATACTGTGGTGTTTGCCACAATGTGGCTTGTGCGCTGTTGGGATGCTGGAAGCGATGTCCCTGATATTTCAAATATGAGCAGGCTCACCCAGTGGAAGCAGGCTTCAGCAGAGCTTCCAGACAGGCCATGAAGAAGGAATGGGCTACTTCTGAGAAGTTAGTCACTGAGAACCTTATAAATAGCAGTGAAACCTTGTGAGATACCGAAAACTTCATGAATCACCGTAGAACCTTGTCAGAGAGAGTGCCGAAAGATGAGCCCCTCAGGTCAGAAGGGACTCAGAATATGACTGCGGAAGGGCTGCCTGCTCACAGCAGGACCGACCGCCATGATGCAGATGGAGTAAAGGCGTCTGGGCCTTCATTTGCTGATAAGGCATGACTCAACATGAGAAGAAACTGCTGCAAATATCTCTTAGTAATTGGAATTTGGAATGTACAGGTGTGAATCAAGAAAATTTGGAATTGTCAAAAATAAAACGGAACACGTAAAGATTGAGGCATTAGGGGGCTGAATTGGACATTTTGAATTAGACAGCCATAAGGTTGACTATTTAGGGAAGGACAAGTTCAAGAGGAATGGTGTTCCATTCATTGTCAAAGGTCCACTTCAATATCTATCTGGAAGTACAGTGCTGTCTGTGATTGAATAATATCTATCCAAATACAAGAAAATGCAGTCAATACAGTTATTATTCAAAGGAAAGCAAATGATGCAGAAGTTGAAGAATTTTATAAATATCTTTAGTCTGAAATTGATCAGATGTACAATCAAGATGCATAATAATTATTAGCAATTAGAATGCAAAAGTTGGAAAGCACGAGGAACAGTAGTTGGAAAATGTGGTCTTGGTGAGGAAAGCAAAGCTGGAGATCACATAATATAATTTTGCAAAAAGACCATCGGCTTGTGCACAGCAAATACCTCTTTACAACAGCACGAAAGGTGACTGGACGTGTGTCCTTCTGCGGACGGAGCACACAGGAATCATACGGACTCCATCTGTGAGAAGAGATGATGGGAAAGTTCAGTATCAGCATCGAAAGCCAGGCCAGGGGCCAACTGTGGAACAGACCATCAATTGATCATATGTAAGTTCAGGTTGAAGCTGAAAGAAATTAAAACACGTCCACAAGAGCCCCCAACCCACTGTGAATACGTCCTCGATGAATTCTGAGACCATCTCAAGAACAGATTTGACTCCTGGGACAGAACTGACAGAGACCTGCCGAGCTGGGAGGAGCAAGAATATCACACACGGGGAAAGTAAACGGTCATTACAAAGACCAGAAGGGAAAAGATCAAAGGGGATGTCAGAAGAGACTTTGAAACTTGCTCTTGACATTTCTCCCATTCTAAAGCCATTGGCACCGACTATGCAAAGAAACAATGAAGGAAAAGAGCCAGACAGAAAATGTCAAAGGGCATCTGGAGAAGAAGTCAAGCTTTAGAATGAGATGTACAAAGACCTGGAGCTAGAAAGCCACGAGGGAAGAGCACGGTCGTCAAATCTTAACCCAAACGAACTCGAGAAAA